TATTTATATATATTTATTTATTTTTTTTTCCGGAATTTTCAGAAAAGTCCACTTTCATCTCTGATTGCTTCTGGAAGAAATTTATTAACTTGAAAATTTTGTAATTAGAGACGCATTTTCCAAGTAAATGCCCTAATTTATTCCAAGTCCCGCAAAATTCAGACAAAAATCTTTTTCCTATCTATCTATCTATCTATCTATCTATTGATAGAGAGAAAGCGAGAGAGAGAGAGAGAGAGAGAGAGAGAGAGAGAGAGAGAGAGAGAGAAACGAATAAAAATGGTCATTTAACTTTTAACTGCTTTTATCGTTTTTTGGGGGTTTTTTTTGCCCTCTTTAGTTCATGCTCTCTCTCAGAAGTGGTTTTTGCCTGGTGTTTTGTAAAGAACTAATCCAAAGACGTTTGCTTTTTTCCTTCAAAAATGTCCAAGGCAAACAGCATAGTGAGCGATCGCCTGACTGGTGAGCACTATTCTGGGTCATTCACATTTACGTAAAACTATCGAAAGACCTCATGGCCTGAGGGGCGAATGATGAGGATGCTGCATCGACACCTATCTATCTACACACCAAGGCATGTACGGTCGAAGTCCCTCTTAGCCAATTGGATGTCAGCATGATGCCTGGTAATAGCCAATGGCAGAGCAGCAAAAAGTTAGTTGCGTTCAGGAAACTCGGAGCTGCGACGAGCAGCCCATACAGTATTTTAACCTTTCGTATCTTGAAATTTCTTTCGTAACAAGAGGCAATAAATTCCTTTTGGGACGTTTCATAACTTCAACATTTCGCATGAAGAGACGTTCGTAAGTAGAGGTACCACTGTATGAAATCCATTGGAATTCAGCACACTGAGAAAAAGATTTCAATGAGGAAGGTTACTTTGTAGAGTGCATATAAAACTCTGCAAACATCTTCCACCAACACAAGCGTTGTTGTTTGGACGAGCCTTTATTGATTGCAATCACAGGAGGACAGATAGTCATGGGTGGTGATTGGGCCATGGTCAGCATAAATACAGTATATTGTTTCCTGGGCGAGTCTGTGGCAACATAATGGCATCTCTCAACGGTTATGAGTGACAGGGTTTTCGCCTATACGGTCAATAAATTGTTCTGAGTGAGTGGAAAAGACACTTGAACACAATTTCTGCACATTGAGACATTTGTACCTGTGCTGTTACATATTTGAATTCTGGTTTTACATTTTGGTCAAGACATCGGTAGTGTAGTGGTTCACAAAGACCATCTTCATGGAACAGACACTTTATGCACTTTTCACGACTGCCCAATGATTGAGTAGCCAGAATATGGCATTCATTGACATTCTTTAACAGTGCCATACTTTTCATAGCGACATGCTTTATTTTGCGTTTGCAGAAAAGCATATGGAACACCTATGTTCGTCCACAAACATCTAAGACTGTGGGCTCAATGGATCTTGGTGGTGCATCAACACAAATCGCCTTTGCGGTTGATGAAGAGCTCAATGGACCTGACTACATGCACATCAAGTTGTATGGCTACCCTTACAATGTCTACACTCACAGTTTCCTCTGCTATGGCAAGAATGAAGCTGAGAAGAGGGTTCTGGACAAAGTCATTCAGGTATACTGACTTTAGCAGAGCGCAAGAGTGTGTCTCATCTCCATGTTTATATCTGCTGTGTTTGTGCTTGTACAAGAGTGTGGAGCATGTAAACCTGTTTGTGAAAGGTAGACATTGAAGCTTAATTTTTCAGGAATAACAGCAATACAGCGATCCCTCGCTCTATCGCAGTTCGTTTAGCGCAGCGGTCGGCAACCTTTGACACCGAAAGAGCCATTTGAACCCGGTTTCCACGGAAAAGAAAACACTGGGAGCCGCACATCTAAAATGAAAAAAAAAAAACTTCTACTACTTTCCCGCAGCATGTTTCTTATGAAATCCACGTGCTACAGAGAAAATTACATTTTATTCATTTAATGAACACATTTTGAACATTTTGAATTCTTGAAAAATAATAACAATGAATGTCTCTTTCAAATAAATTAAAAAGCTGAATTTAAATTGTCCATGTAGCAAACGAAAGCAGAAAAATGCCATGAGGCGTCATCCTTATATCCATTTATCTTATCTAAAATGAAGATAACACTGTATATATTGCTTTTTCTTACCTTTACACTTTGTATAAACAACTATAGTGTGGTT